CTTGAGTCAGTGTCAAATAGAGTACTGCTTCTTCCTTCTGAATTTAGAAAATGTAACATTTTAAGCACATGTCTGGAATAGACATATCAAAACTACAAAACTGTTTATTTTAGTGATGTAGATAGAATTTAAGATTATTGATCTTGTATATTAAGTTTCAAAGCTCTGACAATGAGCTGTAAAACTTTTTTAACAGTTAAAGAGCAGAGATTAACTTTATTTTTAGATTAACAGAAGAGGCTAACCTCGGTCACCTCAACTTCTGGGTTAAGTACATAATTCAAAATGAAATATTTTCACTGGAACCCATGCAGGCTGTCCGTTTACAATAGAACAAAAGAACCAATTTAAAAATATCTACCTTATTTTCCTTGTAAAAATAACAATATGAAAGTGACATACTAAGTCACATTTAAATCCAAAATAAAGTTGAAGGCTAGCTTATTTGTACACTGAGGTAGGAAAAATAATAGGCATGGTTTATATATTTTAAATGATATCAAAAAATGCTTATGAACTCTAAAAATCCGGGAAAATACTGCATTATTTTTTATGGCTAGGTAATCTTGAAAAAGCTACATCTGACTGTGTGAGAAAGAGAGAGACAGGGACAACATAGAGGTAGCCAGCTCTGGATACAAAACTTAATTCATTACCCATTACCTTGAGAGAACTTGTTTAATATCTCTAAATCTCAGTTTTCTAATCCACAAAGTGGGTTTGGTAATCCTTCCATTTCATTGGACTCTTGTGGGGATTAAAAACTCACAATAAATACAAGGTGCATAGCGCACCACTTGGTGCATTAAGATAGATTTTGATTTTGCCAGGTCCATTCCTACCCACACTCTACTATCCAATACCACATCTTGCATATAATGGCAGGGAAGATCAGGCAAAAGAGAATGACAAATGCCTAAACTTCAGCTCCAAACATCAAAAAGCATCCACAGGGCACATACACATACAGACACATTTATTTGTACAAATATTAGAACCCAAACTCTGACCCCGTATTATGCAATACAAATTACAAAAAAAAAAAAAAAGCAATGAAACCAGTTATTTTATAAAGAATTTGCAGGATAACAGAGAAAGAGCAAATCAAAACTTGTTTTTTAGAATAACAAATAAAGGCATTATTTAGAACCTCCTTCACTTGAGCCTCAGTTTTCTTTGGCTGCCCAAAGACGGTTTTAGACTATTTGCAAGAGATTTCTGTCCTCAAAAGTCTATGATTCTAATATAATGGATTTAATGCCATTTATTTTTTCACCTATTAAATTACTTTACAAAAAACCATACAACTACCAGCCATTATGAATTGTGCCATAATAGGAAGGTTGTTTTAAAATACACCACACACAATTAAAAGACTCTACTCAACAAATACCTTTAAGGGGCAATTTTTTTTCCATGTCATAAGCATGTGAACTCAAACTAGTACAGATGAAATTAATCCAGAACGCTGACCATTTGAATTTTCTCTATGGTATGAAACTATTCACTGGATTAATGCTTTTTCTTACTGAATTTACTAATTTGACCTGTCCTTTTGGTGTCAAGTGGATACAGGCTAACTAATCTGTATAAACATCAAGAAATGTTTTCCCACTTCCAAAAAAAGACCCACATCACGGATGTGGTATGTTTTACCACTGCTCTTCATTGTTCAAACACCCATTCACTTGGGGATCTTTCTTTAACAAATGTTGAACACCTAAGTAAAACTAAACATTGGGGGGGTGGGGGGAGCTCAACTTTTAAACTAGGGAGAAAGATACAGTATCCATTACAGACTGATTGCAAAAACATATAACAGATGTCAGGGCTGTTCTTGAGTACAGATAATTTTAGTGACTTTAAAACTACTTTTTAAAATGATGCCAAAGGTAGTACCTTTACCTTTTGCTCCCAAAAGACTCAAAGGTAACCAAGTAAACTTTTGTTTTATTATATCAGAAAAGTAAGCCTTGTTCATTAACGAATTATGGACTCTAGGTACATCTTTTTTCCTTTGGTAACTTTGGCATCCTACTTTTTAATGAGAATAATTTTCAAATCCTCCAGGCATGTGGATGCTTTTAGTTTAAGATCAATGATATAACGGATATTAAATTCCTTTGTATAAGTTACCATACAGGTTACAACTACTTCTTGAAAATAATTCCAGAGCCCACCAATTCTCCCTGTTAAGGTCATGGAAGCTCTGAACCATCATGGCTGAATTGTTTTAGTGCTCTCTGCTGAACACCTGCAAACATCAAACAAAAACTGCTGGTCCTTTCCAGGGTTGACAAAAGCCTTTCATGTGAAAAATGCTCCCTGGGAATGTCAGGCTGTAGCTCAGGTTACATTCCATTCTCCCTAGCAGCCTCACCATTTCTTAAGGTGGTAGGAAAAACCATGTTTGTGAAATGTAAGATTAAAGGGAATATGGCCACACTTTATTTTCATTCTCACATTGCAAATCGCAAAGTAGTCTATATTAATAGAATCAAAAGCTACTGGGAACTCTAAAGCATGAAATATTATCATGCCTCATTTTGAAAAATAACATAGCTGGCTTTTCAAATATTAACAATTTTCTTATAGTTTGGCTTTCTTTTGCCTGGACCCAAGTTTCAAAGCTACACGTGAAAGTGACATCTTAGCCCACTCAGGACAGAGCCCATCAACCTGAAGTAAATTTAGAAAATTATTTCTCTGTCCAAAGTTTCCTAAGTCATGCTTCCAGTGAAAGGGCAAAAATTTATTTTTTTCTGATTAATTTATTTTGTCATTCTTTAAAAGGGATTTATCTTTGTCATGAGGGGAAATATAAGCCATTTTCTTCACTAATAGCCCTGTGTTCAAATAAAAAGAAACCAACACTGCAAGCTGTACTTACATATTAAAGTCACTATAATATTGCATTGGATTAATACTGTGCATTGTCACCCCAGCAGTCAGAATAAAACACTCACTACACTTTTTTCCCTTGCAAGTCAACATTAAGGTCTGAGAAGTACACATCTGATATAATGTAATTTAAAGCTCAATGCCTTAAAAACAATCACAGCATATTCATTAGAAACATCAGAAGACTGAAATCTCTGTCTACATTTCTATATGTAGGCACACACACATATAGCTGTCTTAAGAACTGTGTAAGTTTTAATATATGATCACTTACCAAAATACATTAATACAATTCATATTTATCCAGTCTGTACCCCCTGTAAACACTTAAACATCACAGAATATGAATATAGAAAATAGACCAGATGCACAGTTTTCTTTTTATATGTAATGCAATTTCATGCTTATGCATCACCTTATTTTATTAAACTATACCTAAACTGATACACTTAAGTTATTCCAAATGTGTCAGAGTTTACAAAGTATAAGCATATTTTGCACTCACTTGGAAAACAGACTAACTCTGTGTCCTTCTAATATAATCTACTTTGAGATTTCACCTAAACACATATTTTCTTAAGTAAAATCATGCAGAAAATAGAGATAAAGTTAGTTACTATCTTGATGTCTAACAGAAAAATTCCATTTGCCTTCACAATACACTTGTACTCATATTTACTTCAAAGTTGTATTGAGAATACAATACAGAAATTGGGAAGATATAATACTACATCTAATACAACAACAAAAAATAAAATCCCTAAATGGAAAATACAGCAGGGTCCAGAACAGTAAAACACAAACATATGGTGAATAAGTACTTTTAAGCAAAGCAAACCCCAAAATATAAAAGATAGAATGTAACTATAGGAGAGGTTTCATATTTTATATATCAAGTTATAGAGACAAAAATTTCCTTAGGCATAGGAGGGCCAAAAGAAGGAAAAGTAACTTACTTGGAAATGAACAACTTGTAAATGCCATTAATTTTATAAAATCATACTAATGACACAAATCACAAAGGTGAACAGATATCTTTCATTTCCTACAGCACCAAATAAAAACTAAAAGATGTGAAAATATATTCAATAGCTAACAGACAATTCTACTGGCATTCACAGTCTGACTTAAGGATAGTACTCTGTCTAATGTACTGTTACGTACCATTGCCAGAACTCCTAAAATACTGCAGCTGTTTAACAAGCATAAATTAATTTAAGCCTTGAACCTAAAGGATAGCAAGCAAGAATGCACGCCTCCTTCTGATATGAAATTCATTGGACACACAAAAAAAATTTTTTAAATGAGTATCATATTTTCAGTTTTCACTTTTAATAAGAGGACCTTCGGAGAGTCCCCTACTAAAACTACCCTTTAGATGCCAGATAATCATTGCACACAGATTCCTTTGTGAATCGCGCTGTCTTTTTTTTTAAGCATCACCCAAAGATCTTTCATTTATAAAACACAGAAGTCCTCCCAAATTTGCAACTCTACATACAGCTAAAAAAATTCATTACACAAATAAATGATTAGGGAAAAGAAACAGCTAAATCATCAAAAAAAAATATTTTAAATATAAATGAATTCATATTTAGCTTTCAGATTAGCAAGAGGTTCTCTATTTACAGCAGGGTTTGCTATGCAGCATTCATCTGCAAAATTAAGCACTCATTTCTTTAACAGGGTTAATTATACATAGTACCTAATAACTGATATTATTTACAAGGGATTTTCCCTTTTTAAGAAAGTTAGATTTTCCCCTCTATTTTCAAATATGGGACATTAATTTATTCCCCCATGTTAATATTGGCCTTATCTTGACATGTTTGATTACAGCTGTATTAGAAAATTGCTTTTAAATTAAGTGATGGAATTCTGAGACAGTTTCCTTGATTTAAAAAAAGGCCTAATTTTAATTCTGCAAAAGATAACATGTTGTGTAAATCATACCACTGATGGATAATGAAATAAACGTATGATTACAAGCTAAAATTTCAATGACTTTTTCAGAACACTTCAACAAAGCCAAAGATATACAATGCGTGAATAAACAGCTAAGAATATTTAACTACACACTAAGAAAATAATTTACATACTTGAGCCAGTAAAATGTCCACTCGCCAAGGAAGTTGGTCCATTTTTCCCACTGCTCACAGGAGGTGAAAACATCTAAAAGAAACAAAGAAATATTACTGTTGAAAAGAAGACATTTGTGTCTTCAGAGTTTGTCAAAGATCTTGCATCTTTCCTATCAAATAACTTAAGAGTTTTTGCTAAGGGCTCATTTTAGTAAAAAACATCACCATCCAACTGAAATGAAAACAAGCACATTACCAATCATACCCCCCACCCCATTACCACTCTTGTTCTTTCTTTTTCTTCAGGCTCATTAGATTGCCAATACTAGGCAGTACCAATACATTTTAAACAAACACAGCCCCCAGAATGTTTTCAACATTCAGGTTGGAGGGCAGCAGTCCCTCTAGAAAACAGTAGTTTTACCAAGGAGAAGAAAAAAAAGTTGTTTGTTTTATATTGAAAACCTTGGCCATAAACGTGGCAATGTCCATTTCCATCCCGTATAGGATTTGCCTGTCATATGTGAACCCAAATAAAAATAAAAGTGCCACCTGCACTAAATTCTCATTTCGTGCCTAATATGAGAGCAATTTGAAGCAAGTCTCTCTCTCTCCTCTCTCTCTCTCTCTCTCTCTCTCTTTCTCTCTCTCTCTCTCCCTCCCTATCACTCCCTCTCCAGCATTTACTTCAACCCTAATTGGTTTCCCTCTTCTTCGACGTATCTAGTGGATAATGCGCACCTTCCCTGAGTCAGAGCCTGCAAAAAGCAAAGAAACAAATGGAGAAAGTGCAGCAAGCAGACAGGGGGCTACAAAGCTGCCCAGGGCTATGTTTCCTGGCAAAACTTCCGAAAGCCATTTCTCCAAAAGAAGGTCTAGAAGAGCAGCAGCAACAGCAGCAGCCAGCGGCAGCAGTAGCAGCAGCAACGCGGCAGCAGCAACATGAAAGAGCCCCACTTAGAAGGCGGTTTGGATTTTATTTGTGTGTTTTGTGGATTCTATTTACATTGCCTTGCAAATGCATCTTATACCAAGCGCATCTGACATTAAAAATGAATTATTTCCCCTGACAGGGTTGGGACTTGGTTTGAGAAAGGGATGGAGAAGAACCAAGTACAGCGGTAAAACTCCACAAGTGTACAAGTTCTGCTTTGTGCTGATCTCACGACTGAAATTTACAAAAACAGAGTCCAAAGGGTTCTCCAAAATGTATGCTCCGCATCCACACAGTTTTCAGAATCCCAGGAAAAGATGTAATTAGGAGGACTACAAGTTGTACTAAGCCAAAGCATCAAAACTTAAAAACTTTTAAGAGACAACTGAGTCCCCAATTTTCTCTTTTCCATTTCTTAAAAAAAAAAAAAATCAAATGAGTTAGTGGCCTAAGTATCAGTACTCTCAAGGTTCAGATATGGCCAAGTTTTAGAGGTGGTTTACAGTCTGAAGGGAGTCTCCCTTGCCTTCCCAGTGGGGGGAGAGTCTATTATTTTGGGGGTTCAGTGGGTAGAGAATGAGACTCTTAAAAAAGCCTCAATCTGCCATCACACCCAAAAATTACACTTAAAAACTTGTCCAAAAGACCAGCATATTTACCAAGGATTCAATCAAAGAAAAATTACTCCTGTCTTTTAGATTACTACTGGCTTCTAGCTGAAGTGTTTGGATTTTTTTTTTTTTTTGCTTTGTTTTGTTTTGTTTTTTTTTTTTTCACAGCTGTTGTTAGTTTCCACCGTTCTTTCTTACCGCACTGAAATCCAGTAAATCACTCAGCTCTTTGTCCGTCCCTAAGGCAGCCATTCGCTGTTGGTGATGCATTTTAGCAAAATCACACAAACCTAGAAACATGGAAATAACCGCAATCAGAAAATCCAGTCCCAATCCTTGGAGAAAACACAATCGGATTTTTGGAGACTGGGGGGGTTGGGGATCGGGAGGCGGGGGGCGGGTGGATTAAGGTGGAGAGGAGCGAGGGAGGGGGGAATTGTTTGTTTGTTGTTTTTTTTAAAAGACGGAATAGGCAGCAATAGCAAAAAAAAAAAAAAAAAAAAGCGATATGGATACTAGATTTCCAAAGAGAAGATCAGAACTGCTCACATCCACTAGCAAACCCAATCCGGGGAGAAGGGGCAGGAAAAAAAAAAAAGCCGCTCCTCAGCGCATCCTTTTATGCAACAGGAGGTAGAGCGAGAAATGAATGGATCAGAGAAAAGAGAAACTACTCGGAACGATCCGGTCTCAACTTTCCCCCCACCCCCCACCCCACCCCTCGCACACTCGCCCGCACGCGCGCGCGCACACTCACACACACTCACACACACTCGCACACTCGCACACACACTCGCACACACACCACTCCCCTCTGCATCTCAAAGTAGCTATAAAGAAATTAAAGATGAGCGTCTCGGAGTGGAGACGCGCCCCGGGGAGGGGTGACAGGCCCGGCGGGCGGGGGGCGCGCGCGGCGCGGCGGCGGGTCGGGTCCCGCGGGGTCCGGCACCCCCGCGCGTGGAAGAAAGGGCCGTGGAGATGAAAGTCAGGCCCTCGGCAAAGTCGCCCCCGGTCCCCCCGCGCGCGGCGCGGCCGGGGCGGGGTTGGGGGCCGGCGCGGGGGGAGGGGGCGCGGCGCGGGAGGGGAAGGGGGTCTCCGCGGGGCGCGCGGGCGGCGCGGGGGGCGCGGGGGCGCGGAGCCGCGTGCGGGGCCGCCGAGCCGAGCCGAGCCCCGCGCCGCCCGGCGCGGCCGCCCCGCGGAGCCCGCCGGCGCCGGTACCTACCGCCCGCGCGCGAGAAGGGGCTCTCCGTGCACCGCCGGCGCCGACGCGGCGCTCATGTCTGCCCGCGGCCGCCAGCACCGCCGCCCGCGCCCGCGCCCGCCGCTGCGCCGGCCCCGCCGCCGCGCCGCCACGACAGCTCCGCAGACACACAGCCAAGATCCCTGACTCTTAACACCAACTCTCTTCTCCGGGGAGGGGAGGGCGGAGGGGGAGGGGAGCGCGCCCGGGCGCTCGGAATTGCAAGTTCAGCAAAGAAATGGGTGGGGGGCGCCGGCGGGGGGCGCGCGGGCCGGGCCGGCGGCGGGGCCTCCCCCCCACACCCCACCCCACCGCACCCCACCCCACCCCACCCCGGGGAGGGGGGCCAAAAATCTCCTCAGTTAAATCTCCTCAGCTCCCCCCCACCCCACCCCGCCTCGCCTCGCCTCGCCGGATAAATAAATAAATAAATAAATAATACGAATAAATAAATAAATAAAGGAAAATACCAACGAAAAGGCAGCGAGCACCTCATTTTCCCCTCAGCTCGTCAGTTACAAGCTGAAACCTGAACACTTCAGGGCTTTGCCCGTCTCCTCCGGCCGAGGCACTTTGAAATTTATTCGAGTTTACATCCCCCTGCACTTCTTTCTTTCTCTCTGACTCGCGTTCCCTCTCGCTCACACATCCACACACGGCAAAGCAAGTTTATACTAGGCTGCAGATGCACGTGATGCAAAAAGACTTTGCCAAGAGGAACAATATTTTTCTTTTCCGTGGATAAACCCAGCCACATTTTTGCTGGGGGAGAGGGTCGTTTCGGGAGTTCTGCGTTGGGGCGAAAGCTAAATCCCAGAGTTTCTTTCCCCCTCGCTTTTAAGTCCCAAATACTACAACTGCAAACTTCAACCCCCCTCCCTTCCCCTCCCAAAAAAAAAAAAAAAAAAGGCCAATTTTTGAGCGTGGATGTTGTTTTGTTTTTACACTTGAGTTCCTAGGCACGCTAAGTCCCCGTTTGCCAGCTCTATAAGTTTTTAATTCGACATTTAGCATTACAGGCCCTGCATGCTCTTGCAACACACTTTTTCCCATCACTTTTACGGATAAAAATGAAGCTACCGTCTCGTACTAGCACGCGTGCTTTAGCCAGTAGATGCAACATACTCTAGTTGAACGTGTTAAAATACATTGCACAAACGCTGTTCTCGCTAGATGTGCAAGTACATACAGAAATTGCATGCACACACTTTTCCCACTGGCGATTATTTAATAGTTGTTCCTTTTGTTTTAATAAAATATTGGGATCGACATTTTAAAAATCCAATTCAATTACAAACAGTTCACTCTGACAGCAAATTATAACGTTACCTTAAATGGCCACAAATATGCTCACAATATTCCAAGGAAAGTGACTTTAAAAAGAGAGACAAAAATCTTCTGCAAGGACTTAGTATCTCACATGGGTATCCCCCAAAAAAAGTATTTTAACTGGTACTCAGTTCTGCTCCAGGGAGATCCACAGAATACAAGATTATGCACCTGGCTCTGGTGTTTGCATTTTCCAACATAAAACTGCAACAAAACACCCTCCCCCCAAAAAGCAATCATGAAAAAAAAAAAAATCCAACAACTTTTTCTTATTGTTTATAAAAAAATATCAATACAGGATAGTTATAAATTTTCCTCAAACAAATCTTGTTGGTAGTTTTTTTTTTTCTTCTCCTTTTATAAAGTCTTAAACTTGTTCCAAGTTTAGAGGTGTCTCCTCATCATCCTCCTCCTCCTCCTCCTCATCACCATGGACTCCCCCGTGGAGTCACATTGATAATAATAGGTTTCCCTGAAAGATACATTGTAATCCATTCACATCCGGGCACTGCGGGCTTATAAAGAGAAGGCGCTGCGGCCGCGGCTGCTCCTCCAGACAATGACTGGGGAGGGGCGGGGCGGGAGCGGGCGACCATAGAGTGGTAAACAGAGCGCCTAGAGAGCCGCCCAAGATGGCGGCGCGCGCCGGCCACGCCCCCTCCGACTCGGGTGGGAGTCGCGCGTGGGCCGACATGCAAACCCTCCTGGGGCTCCGGCGCTTCGCAGGCCCCGTGTCTCTGCGCCCTTCTTCGTCCCGTCCCTGGCCCGCCCCTGTCGTTCGATTCCAGAGTGTAGATTCTAAATAAATTGAGGAACGGAGATGCACGGTCTTCTGCAGGGGAGACGCTATTTCTGAAATATTGACTGGGTTAAGCTAATGCCCCCCTCGAGGGAGGCTGGGGAGAGGCTCTGCCGGCCTCACCGGCGGGGCGCCGGGGCCAGGCTGCTCGGCGGAGCGGAGCCCTCTTCCCGGCGAGCCCGGAGCGGCCGGGGAGGGGGGCTGGGAGCCCAGCGTGCGTCCCGGGCTGGAAGGTGGGTGTGTGTCCGCTCCTCCTGCGCCCCTGCCTCGTGTTCTCTGGCCCCCGGGCGCAGGGAGAACGTGGACAGTCCCGGCAGCCTTCATTTGCAGAAGACCGACACTTCTCAGCAGCTACAAAGGGAGTTAGTAGGGTGACCCGCATTTGACTCAACTTCTCCTTCTGGCCCAGCCCCTTGGCTGGGCCCACTTACTCCTGGTCTGGTCCTCAGTGGTTTCAGTGACCTGTGGTCAGCCAAGGTCCGAAAACTATTAAGGAAAATTGCAAAACTAAAGAATGCGTACATGTCCTTTTTTCTTGAACTTTATTCTTTAGCTAAGCATTTTCATAACTACAATCATTTGGGGGTACAACTTCACACACCCCCACCGGGGCTCGAGCACTGAGTACGCGGTTATGAAAAGCGGGCGCAAGTGTCAGGAGGGCGCACAGGGCTACGGGGCCCCTCCCTCCAGTTGTGCGCGTTGGGCACGTTGGGCACGCTGCACGGCGCCCCACCCCCACCCCCCACTCAGGGTGCCCACGCCGCACAGCACCCCCCACCCACCCACACTCAGGGTGACCACGCTGGATGTGAGCTAAGCGCCCACTGGTGACTTAGCTAGCGGCGGGGTTATCCGAAGGACGTTCGCAGTACAGCAGGGCCTCGTGTTCAAATCAGCTTTATTTTAGTTAATATTGGCCTCAGAGTGCGAGAGTAGGATGCCAGCAATGCCTACTCGTTCTGACTTAATGCAAGCAGGTCAATAATCGCTCAAGGTGCCTGCGTCTCACCTCACTTCATCTCAACACCTAGGCATGGGGGATTCTCACGTCACCATGGTAGGAATGGTGAGTACAGTTCAATAAGGTGTTTGGAAGTGGCCACATCCCATTACTTTAATGACTGTATATTGCTATAATTGTTCTGTTGTATTATTAGTTGTTGCTGTTAACCTCATATTGTTTCTAATTTATAAATTCACTTTATCATAGGTATCTATGTATAGAAAAAACCATATCGTCTATATAGGATTTAGTATTCGTGGTTTCAGGCATTCACTGGGAATCTTAAATGTGTCCTCCCACAGAGAAGGGGGACTGCTCTACCTTCTTAACCTGTTTCCTGGTCTATGAAATGCAACTAACAATGTCCATTTGACAAATTTCATAAGTGTTAAAGGAATAAAGAAGGAGCCACCTCTAAAGAATTGTCCCTTTACATTTCTAATGCCTCCGTAAACCATTGATGGCTTTAGTCTAGCTCATGTGTTAAGTGTAATTAGTCCCCCCAGAGAAAAGTGAGTAATAATAATTGGTAAAAACATAGACAGTGAGTTTATTATGCCCCAACACTGTTCCAAGAATTTCTTAAATATTGACTGAATACTAAGAATGAGTCTATGGAATTTAAGTTACTACTGTATTTTGCATACAGGGAATCCAAAGAAACTAATATCCAGTCACTTTTCTCAGGTCAGTTTAGTAAATGGTACAACCTTGCCTAAATTATACAACTTTATTAAATGATAAAGCCCACCTTTGAAGCCAAGCAATCTGCAATCAGAATCGACATTCAACCACATTCCTATACCATCTGGCAGCAAGAACATCCTAATCTTCATTTTCAGATGCAGTGCTTTAGCAGTAACAAGAGTTCAGATCAATTTTCAAGATCTTTTGTTTACACGTAAGTTTTTAGAAAATAAGACATTAGGGTATTTGTAGATTGTTTCCTCTCTACTCACACTACGAAGATTCCCATCTTCTATACCCATTCCCTGCTCTCGTGTTAAAATAACATTTTACATCTAAATACCACTTTGTGCTGTATTATCACAAGTATTATCTCTGATTCTCAGAGTTAAGCCTTTTCAAGCTCTACAGAGATGACGCAATGAAAAGATCACAAACGTTTGTTTAGGAGAAATAGATTCAACTGGCTCTACCTCTGATCAGCTCTGTGACTTAGGCTCTATGTCAGTTCTTCTACAATAAGATGCAATGCTAGATTTCATAATCACCTAAAATTCCTGCTCATTTATAATTTTAAAAATTCTCCTCCCCTTTAATTTCAAGGGGAATTAAAGATATAAAAATCTCAGGTCTGGGATCTAAATGCACTGGATTGAAGGCTAGTGCTTAAAACCAAAAAAAAAACAAAAAACAAACAAAAAAAAAAACACACACACACACTATACCACACCCCCCCTACAGTCAGAAAACCATGCAATTACCCTGCCTATTTTAAATTAAGGGACAAGTATGGACAGTTTTGTTTTGTTTGTTTTTTTTTTCCCTGAAATATCAGAAGATTAGATATGCTTGAAAACTTGAAGTCACCTTAGACAAGAAAACTCAGTAGAATCCTGTGAAATTTTGATGTAAAGGAAAATGTAGTAGATATGTTTTAGGTGCCTGCTCCAGAAACCGTCCCTAGGAACCTGTTCTTAAATCAACATAAAGCTTGTTGTGGTGGGTGGCACAGAACTCCTTCCTGCCCTAGCCCCACCAACTCTAGCCGATTAGAGCACAGGAACTAAAGAAGGAAGAAACTGACAGTAGTCTATGGTGAGTGATGACTGTGACATGTTGGAGTCAGCTGGCCAGAGCTAGTGCCAGGAAGCCAAGCCAAGTGAGAACCATGATTTGGAGAAAACAAGAACCATGAGTAAGCAGAGGAACCTGTTCTTCAGATAAGAAAGATCTTGAAAGTTCTGAGAAAACAGACAGTTTAGTCCTTGGAAAAAAGTGCCATGAGATTTTTTTCTCAATGATTATGGGATCCACCTTACTTCCTGTCCACTACGCCAGCCAGACTTTGCAGTATTCCCCTACCACAGTGAACTGACCTGAGTACTTTTCTGATCCTTCCAACTGGAGAATTTACATGGAAAAAAAGATGCTTTGGATTTCAAACTTTCAAAACAGTCCTTAACATGTAGCAAAAAAGAAAAGTAGTGACTGTTGCTTTGGGGGTAAACAATTAGTTGCATCCTCACCTGATAGAGATTCTATCTCAATCATTATGCCACATATAGTCAAGTCAGTATATGTGAGTGTCATTTCCTTTTCTTCGTTGTGACTTTGGGCAAGATTCACAGCTTATCAGATGTAAATAAAAAGAAAGGCCTATCTTCAATACATGACTGGTTAAAATCAAATGAGATAATGGAGATGAAAGTGGCTCTAAAAATAACAAATTCTTATCAAATGCAAGACATGAACATCACATAAAATAACATTTATTTCATAGAAGTGTTGACAAATACTGAGAACCAATGAGTCATAGAGAGCAACAGACATTGAAGGGCGTATGAACGAACCCTTAATTTTGGTTGAAGATGTCAAGGCTCAAGTTGGATGGTTTTCTAAGCTCCCATTGCTGATAAATTAAATAGCCAAAAATAGCCCTACAGTCACTGAGTATCAGTCCAGAATGCCATACCATTCTCGATCAAATTGCATCCAGTTTGCTTCCCCCCAGTCCTACCCATGTTAAAATAAATAAGCAGACAAAATCAGAACCAAAAAAAAATCAGATCTTCAGTGATCTAATTAAACTCACCCCAAAATCGAGCAAATAATTTTTGAGTGTCTACTGCCCAGAAGCAAAATTGTAGACAAAGAAATCAGAAACATTCAAATATCCAGGGCAGTTTTGGTTGAATGTGACGTCACTGTGAGTACGATATAGCCTGAAGGAAATGTATGGAAGAAAAGGGAGGGCTATCTCAACATACATTTTGGTTACTGTATTATCAACTTCATCCAGATCCCAAGCTGAAGTCTCATGCATACTACAAGGCTGAGTGAGAAAAGCAACTGGAAGGAGTGAAAAGGAGGGATCCAGTCAGTGTATGTAAAAGAAGTCCCTAACTTCATGATCTACAGTCACACATACCACAGGGCCTTTGCACTCCCTGACCCCATGGTACTTTATATGGTTGTTGAGACAACTGACTCCTTGTTATCCTTCTGGTCTCTGCTTAAATGTGACCTCCTCCAAGAGACCTTCTTGGCTCTTTATCTAAAGTGAGCCACCTATCATTCTCTGCTACAACATCAGTTTTATGTTTTCGCTGGCATCATCCCCAACTGGGATCCTTTTGTTATATGTTTGCTTTTATAATGCCTATGTCTTCTATCAAACTGTAGACTTTGTGCAGGCTGCATGAATATTGTTAACTCTGTTCCACACCTAATGCAGTACCTGGCACGTATCAGGTATTCAGTAACTACTGTTGAATAAGGGAATAAAGAACCTGTCCTCAAGACGCACACTTTATAATAAAGAACGCTACTTTCATACTTTATCAAGTCAGTTTCTCCTTGTTTTTCTACATCATATTGTTTGTAAATGTTACTAGTGAATATTCAGTTTGTTTTACAATAACCCTTTGGCCCCTTGTCATCTGAATTCTAAGCCCTAAAGATAGAACAAGGATTATTGCCTTAATTTACCAATTTATGAGAACAGCCTCCTCATTGTTCTGAATACAATAAAGGATGCT